TCTCTCTCTCTCTCTCTCTCTCTCTCTCTCTCTCTTTCTCGTAGCGTTTATGATTACTTTTTTTCCTGTAAAACATGACGGTTAGAAGAACGTTTTCTCTTCGTTGCACGAAGCTGAAGATGACGATGTCAAAGCAATAATCCGCATTTAATCTCTGAAGGCACCACCTTTCAGAGTAATTAAAAAAAGTAAACGAAAGAAAGCAAAATAAAAATGAAAGAAAAGAAAAGAAAAGAAAAGAAAAGAAAAGAAAAGAAAAGGTTCGGTTAAGTTTCCTGAGAGATTATTTCCGACGATAAATCCGCAAGGCTTTCGGTAGCGAAGAGATTGAGAACGCGAACTATTTCAACAGACTACGTTCATTCGAAATGAAACGAAAAACGATGCTGTTGCTGTTTGCTACTGCTACTGCTACGGAAACTACTGTTTCTGCTGTTGCTATTGCTGCTAGACGTATATTTTTCTCGCTTCCTTGATTTCACGACGACGACGACGACGACTAGGAAGAGATCGCCTTTTAAAAAATAAAACAGACCGGGCTATCTCCGAAAATGACACGAAGCGTATCTTCCACCTCGATCGTCCTACATAAAATGTCTGTCTATCTTCTCTTGATTTCCTTCTATATAAATCCGTCTATGTGTATACATATATATATATACATATACATAAACGCGGAAAGAGAAAGCATAAAAAAACGAAAAAAAGGGGGAAAAAACAGATATTAATATGAAGAGGAAGAGAGGGGGGAAAAAAACATGATCGAAATTTCCCTACAACCCTGTCCCCCCCTTCCTCCAAAAAAAAGAGCAAAAATAGGAAACAAAAAAAAAAGGATCCAAAATGACGGTGTGTGTCTCGTCATACACATGAATCCATTCCTGTGAAACAGTTCTTTCCCCCTCCCCTCTCTCTTTTTCTATTTTCTCTCTTTTCCGTATCAGACCCGGCGCCTGTCGAGGATACCCAATGGAAAAAACGGCCAGCTAGAGGATGAAAGATAAAAGCCGATATTAGCATGCAACCACTACCTACTACTACGAACATCGTCATGTTCGTCCAGTGATATTTCCAGATAGCTAACACTCGTCGATTTCTTCTTCCTTGTTTTGTATACGTGTATGTGTGTTGTGTGAGACCACATTGCTTGCTTGCTTAGCCTGGCTTGGCTTGCTTGCTTGCTTGTTTGCATGCTACTTCAAATCATGGTTTTCTCGATTCCGAAACTACTTTGCATCTTATCCCATGTCCAACCATGGTTCCGTTCAGGACGATACACCGTTACATCATCATCGTTTTTCCTAAAATTGTCCACGACCTGTTTTACCCAATCCTTCTCGTTGAATTTGTCATTAATTCAGAATAAAACTTTCGATTTCTAAAATGTTCAAAAATTAACTTAGAATTATCCATTGAACCATTACGATTATTTCCCATTGAAATTTTCAATCCAGTTAACGTCTAATGTAAATTTCATTTATCTTTGATTTTCTTCTCTTCTGCAAACCCTCTTCTCCCCCCTTCCTCCCTCCCTCCCTCCCCTCTCTCCCCTCAACCAATGTTCTGTTTCTATTTCTACCACTACTATTACTACTATTACTACTACTACTATTTCTCCTATTCCGCTTCATTTCTCGCTTTCTTCTTGTTCGTCGTCTAGCCGGTTTCGAGTTCTTAATATATCATACGATATATATGTATGTGTATTTACACACACTGATAGAACAAGAGAGAACGGTACTTGACAATTTTTAGTTTAAAGTAAAGTCATGCTCCATCTGAGTGTCGTGTAGTTTGTAAGTAGTAGTATTATAGGTATAGCTAAACTATACATTTCGATTACATATCTATCTCTCTGTTACTCGAATAATCGACGGGGACTGTCAACGATCAACGTATATTATTATTATTCTTATCCGCTTCTTCCGCTTAAAATCACAAATGACATTTCAACAGTTTGCCTTCGTGAGACTCACGTTCGTACAAACTTTAAAACTTTTAGAACCCACAAATCGTTCTATTTGATAAACTGAAAATCGTACATTGATTTATAGGATTTTTTAAATTGGTTTTGTTTTATTGTATTTTTTATATTTTACTGTCAATGCATTAATATAATATTTTATATTAATTTTTCTTTTATAAATTTGATTTAAATATATCGATAAGTGATAACAATTTTGATCCAATTGAAAAACGAGATTGAAATACTCTTCCTTTCACGGTACTAATTTTTGTGTATTTAAATTATCTTTATACGAAAAGATAATATATTTCAAAATTCAAGTTATATATATATATATATATATAGTTTATTTTAAGGTACACAAAAATTTATTATACAAATTTTGTTTATCAACATTTAAATATTATTCAATTTATATCATTCATTCGTTTGATTATATTGTATATTAATAAACAATCAATTTTATATTCGTTCTACGAACGATTGAAAATATAAAATAGAAAAGTAATTAAAATCTTAGTCTCGTAGTAAACGTGCAAGCTTAAAATAACTCAACTTTGATCGTAAAATTGTCTATTTTAATCGTATAACACCTATTCGCGTTAATGTCAATAATCCAGCTTGGGCCAGTAGAAGAAGATTCAGAGAGATCCAGATTTAAAAATGAAAGGAAAGTAAACTTTAATAATAACAAGAAAGGAGGATGAAGAAGATATTAGGTGGTCTCAAAGATCCTAAGCATGATAAAATTAGCTTCATCGATTCGCGGAATAATTCCTGGATAGTGTTAATACTTTCAACACGATTGATCAACGTTAAAATCGAGTATGTTCTTCTGTATATTCGCGAAACGAGAACAGGACGAATTTGATAGGATGTTGTAGCAAGATACAATCCATTGTCACATCATCCGCAACTTCCTTACTGCTGTTGCTGTTCTGTTGGTTGTTATTATATTATTACTATACATATAGTAGATATAAACCGAGCTAGAATTCACGATAACGCGACTTCCCCAACTCTGAAATTTGATCAACGAACATATAACGTTTTAAACAACCGATCGAGTATTTGATAAATGATACTTGATAATTTAACAATAACAAAATCTACTGATTTGTAATTCCTGTTTAGAAATATAACCAGCAGGATACATTATATGAATTCAACATAAAATTACAATAAATCATTCGAGAAACTTTGTACGTATAGAAAATGTATTATCAATTTATTTGAAAAAATTTCTAAAATAATTTGTATCAGTTGAAAAAAAATAACATTTTCAAATAGTCTTTTAAAATCTGAAAGAACAAAATTACTGTATCTGTATTGTATTTCAAGAAAATAAGAAAAAAAAACCGAAGATTAGAAGATTACTTCTAATAATCAAGAGAAAAAAAAAAGTAGATAAGAGGGATTACTATTGTATCTTGGTTTAACGTTCTAATAATGTGTACAATACTTGCAATCAAAATAATAATAATATTAGGTATGATAGTGGCTTACCTTAGTAATGGTGATAGCAATAGAAGGGGAAGAGAATGACGTGTGGTGGAGAGTGGAACGTAACAATAGAAAAAAGAAAAGGTTACAAAAAAAAGGAAAAGGATATGCTTATATAGCAGC